TGGATTCCATTCACCCAACATTTTGTTACAAGCTGAATATATAATCTCTCCGAGCTGCCAATTCCTATTGCTCATTTACATGGCACCCAATGGAAGAGGACCCTGCTCTTTGACCAAGACGTGGTAATTTGAATTAATAAAATCTCATGACACTAAATTGCTGTTCCAAGACACTACCATTCAGGGTCACATAAAAACACATCAGTGTTTAGATGTAAAACCTATAGTCTCAGTGCTAATAACTACTGAATAAAACAATTTGCCACTAAAATCTCTTTTCTCTAATTATAATTTGAGAATTGGCATCTTGCCTTTCATCATGACAATCCTTTTCCAAAGCCACTAACATTTGGTTCTAGAGGGCACTTAGTACAAGTTTAACATGATATTAAAACAGGGGTCTTAACTATAATCCCTGCCATAGCAACAAAAATGACCAAAGAAAGCTTTAATTTGTGATGTACGTGGATAAGCTGGTAGCAGGGACAGGTTCTGCAATATGGAAGCATACACTACACAGGAGGGAATTATTTCAGATTACTAGAAATCATTCAGTGTTGAATTTGGCTATCCAGCACCTGTGCTATTTAACACTCCGCATTGACTATTTCTGTTTTTTGGATTCATGCCACCATCTCATTTAAATGACAGTATAAAATATTTATGTAGATATTTTGTCATTACAGGAAAACCACAGAGTATGGTGAGATCCATGAGCTCACAACAGAAGAACAGTTTGTAGAAGGAACGTACAGGGTTGAGTTTGACACCAGCTCTTACTGGAAAGGACTTGGCCTTTCCCCATTCCATGAATATGCTGATGTAAGTATTTGCAAATATACCTAATAACCTATATATCATGCTGCAGCATCAGCTGGACAGAATAAATACAGTGTTTTGATACTGAAAAGGCAATAAAATGGTTCACTGCCACCTAACATTGTGCAAATAAAGACAGTAAACAGTCAGCTAAGCCAGAGGAAGTAGCCAAATTCCCTGCAAGTACAAATTGACACAGCTCTTCAAAGAGGAGCTGTGCCCATTTAGTTTAGTAGAGACCTTTGTCCAAAAAGAGCTATGTTATTTGAATGGACTCAGTGTTTTAAAACCAAACAAACAAACCAAAATAAACCAAAACAACAACATACAAAAAGAACAGTCTTCTTTAATTGTTGCATATATCTCGTTTCATCATAAATATACAGATTTGGAAGCCTTCATTTTATAGAAGATTAGCTTTTCATTAATCAGGGAGATTTCCCTCATACCAGTCACCTGAATTCTTGTATGATTGCTAATTGCAGCAAAAAAATTGTTCTTTTTGGTGTGCATTTTTTCATGATGCTCAGTAAATACATGCATAATGATACATGCAATAGGAAAAAAAAAAAAAGAGGGAAAAAAAAAAAGAGGCATAAAAAGATAAAGAAACAATCATAGTGAGAAAATAAAAGTTGGCTATTTCATTGATACCCAAATTCCATACTTGGGGTTTAATCGCGTCATATGCTTCCCTTTGCTTTCAGCCCAACAATGATTTATAGTGTGTTCTTTTCTATGACATTTACTTAGTAATTCCAAAAATGTTGTTTACATTCTTGAGGCTTACTCTGCCATTTAATTTAAGTTTCTCTAAACATTCTGTTCAGTGGTCTGGAATGGCTATGGAATTATTTTGTAGAACATTTTAAATTGTTAATTTACGGAGACCTGTGGAAGACTAAAACAAATGACTAAGGCCCTGATCCATAAAAGCCTGAGGTGCAACTTGAATGATTTAGGTCAAATAGACAATCCTCATAAATGTTCCCTAACCATTTGGATGTCTGAAAATTGCTGGGACCTAAGAATTTCACCTCAAAAGGTGCTTAAAAGCACATAGTTGATCCTGTTCCAGCTAGGCTGTTAGGATGCCTTCCTTTGATATAATGGTCTACAAGTCACCCCATTACCCTAGGAAGTGGGCAAAGTTAGTCACTGTCTGTGTACAAGGTAATTCTAGCCTACAGTTCTCATGTCTTGGCAGCTTAGACTTTGGCAGGACTAGGGTGGAGGGGGGATCTCTCTAGTCCTGACAGTTCAGAAAATAGTTCAAGCATTAGACTAAAGAGAGCCAAAGAAAGGGGCACAATTGAAGACACTTTTCCTGGGAGCTGCATGTCTCACCTTCCAAGAACTGATTTGGAGAGCAGCAAATGTGAATTCTTTTAGAACAAAGGTCTTTTCCTTTTCTTGCAAGTCTAGTAACTCAGCTCTTCCATTAAGATCTGACTCATCATCAGCTGTGTTAAAAACAGTACTGAGGCACTGAAGTACAGAAAGTGGCTTTGGGCTCCAACTGCCTGCCTTGCTTGGAGCTTGGACACCTCACACAGATCTTTCTTACTGGTTGTTTGAGATACCTCCCTCTCATCCTCCCACCCCACATCACAGACTAGAAATAGGCATGCCTGACTCAGGTGTTCAGTGTCTTCACCGCACTTCACTACAGGTGAGGCTTTTGTGGACACTGGTCCAAATCACACTAATTTCTCCATCTTCAGCATGTGTAACAGATTAATGGGAAGCATTACCCTTTGCAAAGGTGTTTGACCATTGACTGAACAGAACTGGCAAAATAGTCTACACAGGAACTAGAGCATGCTTCCTAATTTTAAAAGCTAAGGCAGTTTCAAATGTGTGCTGTTCATCATGGTTACAAGTTCTCTCTTTTCCAGGTGGTGTTCACTGCTAATGATTCTGGTCACCGCCACTATACCATTGCCGCTCTCCTCAGTCCTTTCTCTTATTCAACCACTGCTGTTGTCAGTGATCCCCAGGAATAAACAAGTACTGTCATTACACAAACACCTTCCTCTGCTAGGACTATTGTAGGCTTTTAGGAGGAAGGGTTTTTCTATTGCTAATACATATCTTTTTGCTATATTAGTTTTTGTGTTTGTTTATTTTTCATTTTGTAACCTGGCAAAAATTCAAACAAATCAATAAAATGTTACTTCTTTAAAACAATTTCTGCTCTATTGGTGAAGTTTTATTGTGTTATAAAGTGCCATAATTTGTGTTCAAGTGCAAAGGGTATCTGGAAGCTGTGTGTGGCATATGGAAGTAAGTTAACACTTGTTTTGGTTCTGTTATCTTCCTCCGGTACTTTAAACAAAATCTCACCAAATGAACTGGCTTGAAATAAGAAAGTTAGAGTTCTGCTACCTCAGGAAAAAAAAAAAAAATCCAACCAAACATACTCAAAATAATAAAGTCATCTATGCTATTCATAGCTTACACACAGAAGAGACAGTCCCACAATCAACTAGGTCACAGGGTAAATAGGAGAAATTCTGAATATCTAGCAACAAACAATGTAGAAAGATTATTAAAAGATGTAGATGTAGAGAGCTGGATAAAATCTATGTAGCTTTACTTGAAACTTTACGGCATACTTTGTTGATTTCAAGAGGAAGAGTTGCTACTCACTGAATCTAGGAAGTTCTGAAGTAATTTCAATTACCACCATTTTTAACAACTCTGATCTTTAACCCAGTTGGCTACCAGGTGTGTTCCAATTAAATCTCTAATAAGTCTAATCTGTAGCCAATACCCATTTAAAAAAAAAAAAAAAAAAAGTCCTAAAATAGAAGCATCACCTTATTATGCTCTTCAAAATTTTAGAAGCAGAACAAGGCAAATTGTAGAGTAATTGTGATTCAAATAACATTGTTGATAAATGGACACATGAGTGTGAGGGCTTTAACAGTGATTTCTGTCGACTTATGGCCTATTGTATTTAAAAATATCCTGAAGCAGAGGAATTATTGTTTAATGGGATTATGGAAATGACAGAGGCCATTACTGAACTCATGCCATTCAGAAACTATCAGTACTCATCTGCCACTGACCTTGGAGTTGATCTCTCCACTACTGAGCCTACTGGGATGACTGCATACCAAGAGAATTTACAAGCTATTTAGTTAATTTTCCCCCTGATTTCTGGACTCCAACAAAGTTACACAATTCTAGTAAACAGTGCAGATAGTTTCAAAATAGCACCCATGTTGAAGCATGCATGCTATTTCATGGGAATCTGCTATTCCTAAAGCTTGAAAATCAGTAGGTTTGATTTGCAGCAGGCTATGCCTAGCCATTTAATTAGAATGTAAATATGTTCCTAAAGTTGTGGTGCTGTCATCAAAAATAAAAATAATAATAATTTAAAAAATATAAATGAAAAAAAAAAAAAACAAAGAAAAACAAAAGGAAAAGAAAGAAGAGGTTAACATCCCTACTCTACATGTAGTCATCCATCTGAGGACAGGGTAAATATAGTAAGAGTGTATTTGCATGTGTCTAGCCAAAGATCAGAAAGAGTTTCATTTCAGGAAATAACATTTTCCTAAAATGAAACAGAGACTTCTGGTGGGGGCTGACTTGCAGCTGTACAGATGAAGTCCTGAAATTGTACTGAATCTAAGGAACAACTAAAGTGACAGGATTTAAAATGCTATTTAGCTGTACTTTCAGAAATGGGTATGTAGGTACCTAATTAACATGCTGGAAGCCAAAGATAGTATTTTCCCTCCGGGGAATACATTAGAAAACTAGATAGTTCACACAATATACACTTACCACAGAGATGAGTCAATTATGCACCACTATAACCACAGAGAGATTCTCATAGAAACTGAAATTGCTGAGTTGACAAGGAATTTCTATTTCTCTTAAGTATATGAGAAGTATACAGCACTATTACTCAACAAAAAAAAAAAAAAAAGGAAAAAAAAAGAAAAAAAAAGAAAAACAGAATAAACATTTTTTTTCCAATAAAAAAGATCACTGAAGGTAGGTAACCATCCCCTTGTGGGTATCATTCCCACAAGCAATGATAGAATACTTATTTTCACAGACAAGGTTCATGTTTGTATGGGTTACTTATTTTCTCATTATTTACTAAGTAAATAGTAAGAATCAGCAGCATGTTGAAAGTCGTATGTTGTTTTTTTGATAAGTAGCTTCAGTTTAGAGGCCTTGATATAAAAATCATGGACCTTGTCAGTTCATACTTGCTGACACTGAGACTTCCTAGTGATAAGCAAAATGGCTTTTCACTCTGTATTTCTTATTTTCTTAGCTGGCCTGGCATTTTTCTCTGAAGCTGCGCCACAGGTAAGTGTCTTAGGATTGAAGCCCTTCATATTCATGTAGTCCCAGCTCTTTTTTTTTTTTTTTTTCCTTTAATACAATTTATGTAAGTGAAAAATAGAATATTAGAATATTCCATTTTATTGCAATTATTTTGATTTTGTGGTATGTATTGACTGTAGTTCTCTCCTGCTCTTTTTCTGGTCCTTCTTTCTCCTTCTGTAGTGATAACAGAGAGCTTCTGGTTAGAGAAGCAGCACTTGCAATCAGACTCACCAGCTGCGTGAAAAAGGGTGCTAGAGAAAAAATGCCACAGTCACTACACAAAAGCCTTGGACAAAAAGCAGCTATAGTCCTTATAACACAATGAACAAGGTCATGAGGAGTTTCAAGGCAGTTCTGGCAAGGTCCTGCAGTCCTAGTATTCCTTATGGTCCCCAGCACTTCCTCCCACGTTGGTTTTAGCTGCATTGGCTGAGTAGATCCATGCTGGAGTGATGTTTTTTCTAGTCCTCTCCCTTACTGCTCCCATGCATGAATTCATTAATGCAAGCAATGAACAGAGCCAAAGCCAGGATCCCATTTCTCCTCTCTCCACTTATAGAGGACTCATTTACTCCAACAAAGCAAGCCAGAGATCCAGACTTCTTCAGTCTGTAAATCTCCTAGAATGGACTCATTCTTCTCATTCTTCCTCTCAATCTCTGATCTTTGGGAAAGTGAGTATCTGATCATCCTTATGGAAAAAAAAAAAAAAAAAAAAAAAAAAAAAAAAGGTCTTCTATTGAGTTCACAGGGTGAAAAAGACAAGAAAATAGCTGGTGGCATTACATACCCCATTGCCATTACCTCAGAAGAAACGGTAGCAAGGAGCATGGCATTCCAGAAAGTGAGCCTGAAGATTCAGAGCATATGGATGGTATATATGCTGATATAATTCTCTGACACAGGGCAGGTTTTTGGCCCATGGGACATCATAGACTGTAAGTGGGGATAGATGAGAACTTGCAAATTTTACCATCTACGTCACAATCCATTTTGCAATGATTAAATGGAGATCAACGACTGTTATTTTGAGCTCATCCCTGCTTAGCACCTTCCGCTTAGCTCTATTTTCTCACTTTTCATCTGAAGAATTAGGCAATGAGGCAATGGAAAGTCAAAGCCCTAATTCAACTCTACATTTGAGTATGTAAAACATCAAGGCATGACCACCATTTGTAATGAATGTGTGCAGAAGGAAACTACGGTTTGAAGAAAGGTTTTTCTCTTCTTCCCATGTATAGTTGTCAGGGGATAATAAATCTTATCTAAAATGGTGCTAGGAAAGACTCAGTTTACAGCAGAATTCATATAACTTTAGGGCAAGAAGTACATCAAAAGCCCTCAAATTCAGAAGGCTTTGCTCAAACTGCCACCCCAAAATATGAAGGAAGAGTTATAAGATTTTTAAACATTTCTGCTACTTCTGTTAATTTAATTATTTGCTGCTCAGGACAAAACTTAGTTAAAAATTTATGCTGGAAATGATGTGTAGATGATGTGTAGACTCCAAAGGGAAAACAAAAAGGCATTCTCACACTTAGCTGCAGTGTCTCTAAAGTGTACATGACTACCATCTTCCCTACAACCCCTGACATCTTCCTCCCTGGTTCCATTGTCTCTAGCCCCCTGAAACCTTCTATATATATATTTCTGCAGTACACAGTAATCTTGTTGAGCAGATGGTATATTCAGTAAAGGTAAAGAACAAGGTCCCTTAATGCTTTATTATTATGACCAATGACTTACCTTTCTTACAACGTAAAAATTCTCTCTTCCTACCTGAAGGACTCTTCTGATTCCAAGCATCCTCTTGTTGTAAAAATTCTGGATTCAGTCCGAGGAAGTCCAGCTCCAAATGTTCCAGTTAAATTATATAAAGCAGCTGCAGATGGATCTTGGGAACTGTTAAATTCAAAGTAAGTCATACCAAAGTAATGTGTGAGAGAAGAGAAAGATAATGGGAAAGCCAGAGTTGAAAAAACTTCGTGTTCTCTAATGAACAACGTCTTTTTTAGTCAGAGAAAAGATACGCTACTGAATGAACAGCATTTTACTTGCTGCAGGTTGCCATTTAACTGTACTACAGTTTCAACTAGCAAAAGAGTTTTATAATGTTATTTCATTACAAAAGGCCATTTTTTTTCTTTTTAATACCCACCAATGACCTGTTGCATTATTACCAGAGGAGTCAGGCAGACTCTAGTTTGTTTGAAACTGACCCTGGTTGAGAATTCCACCTTTATTGACTGTTTTTCTTCTTTCAAAAAGGTTTTCCATTTCCTACAACGCTTTAGCTCTAAAGAGAAAATGTGGAATTGTTCAGAACATATACTACTTTATAATTGATAGCCTCTTTTTTTTTGGGGGGGGAGTAAAAGGAATTAGCCAAAATGAAAAAGTGTTGATATAAAGCTTTCTTACCATTTTGGGGGGGGTAATTGATCGATTTTTAATATATACTAACACTTTATAAACTCAAAAGCATTTTTTCATAGAAGTATATAATATGAAATTGAAAACAATTATTAGGGGGTACCCAAAATTAACATTCCTTCTGTATTCAACAAGCAATATCCCTCTTCCACAATTCTCTGACCAAGATATTTGCAAAGTCTCACCCAAGACGTTATTTCCAGGATATACAGTATATTCTATCTTGAAAAAAAAATAATAATAAATAATAATAATAATAATAAAGTAAGATGGGGAGATAGGGCTCATGAGAGTTAAAGCTGACATAGTGCAGGAATTTCTCTAGCATGATTCCAGACTCAGATGCATTTGTAGAAAGTCCATGAAAAACCATACATAACTGGCTCTTTGGTGTAGTAGAGCAGTACGCTGGCAGAAGCAACAGGGATCTCATACATGTCTTTGAAAAACACAGCTACAGTGAAGGCTACACAAGCAAACTAAACCAAACAAGAATGATGTATTCATTTTGTCCTACTTAAATAATTTGCCTCCCGTTCCACAAATAAGATAGCTTCATAAATATTCTGTCACTAGAAATGTATGTAATTTTCCATTAAGGGGATGTTCAGGTTAGATACCTTGAAATTTGAGCTCAGAGTCTTTCTATAGAGATACTGGGATACTGGGCTGAACAGCTGGATGTTGATCATAACCTTAAAACATACTTTGGGTTTGAATCAAAGAACAAAGATGAGGTATATGAAAAATGTGATAATACTAAATCAACCTCTCCAGTCTTATTTATTTATAAATAATGGAAGGTTAGGAAGGGGTTCTAAAATAGCTCTTCTTAATTAAAGATATGTTTGGTTTTAGCTGAGAAATCTTATTAGAGAAACAGTTATCTAAAAATAATCAAGCCATGACAAAGGAAAAATAGAGACATTTGAATGGAATAATAATAAAAAAAAAAAAACTGCTGACAGTATCTTGGAAGATACAAATGACTTCATAGTTCTACGTGATATTAAAGCACAAATCTTAAGTTGTGTACTGGACAAAGATATAAATAACATTCTAATCTTTATTTTTCTCTGCATGTAAGTTGAATAAAGTATGTTCAGAAAAGGATTTGGCAGCTGGAACACAAAATAGTGTTTGTGACTACTAAAAGCATATACAAGCAGCAGTTATTTGTGAATAACCTACCCAATGAAATACCTAATTTTATATAACTTATTCCACAAAAATAAGTTTCAACCAAGAGATGTGTTCAAGAGACAGCATTCAATATTGTCTCTAGAGCCCCAGATTTTGGTTTGTGTTCAAAGGTCTATTGTTTCAAGCCAGTACTATACCCTTGGCTAGCATTGATAACATCTTTAAGTCAAACTAAAGCATCTATTTTTTTAGGATGTAAAACCAACTAGTTAATACAGATACCAAGGAATTCCATAAGGCTACACTGTTGGCTGATGTACAGGCACTTCAAATAGTAGATTTCAAATAGCTGACTGTAAAAAATATTCCTACTGATAAAAGAATTTAACATATTTAAAAAAGAAAGCAGGCTATAGAAAAGTTGAGTTGACCCTATTTACTTACATAGTTAAGTGCATCATACAGCTTTCACATTGCTTACAGCAATGGTGAAGTTTTCCATGTGAGTTCATTTAATTAACTCTAAGACTCTGCCAAGAGCCCACAAACAATAATGTCAACATTTGGCTCACCCCCAAACCATGCCTAGTAGTGACATGGCAGGCAGCCATCCGCTGTGGTGATCATGGGAGTAGTAAATGCCAAGATAAGCTCTGTGAGGCATCCATAATACAGATGGACATAAGCCATTCCAGATCAATAGAAGTATTCATCACATTACTTAAGCTACGCAACATCACTTGAGTTCAGTTGTTGAGAACTACATTTTTATAGGGCTTTTAACCAAAATATAAAAGTGCATTCTTCTCCCATTGTACAGACAAACCAATGAAAATGGAGAGCTCCGAGAGCTCACAACTAAAGAACAATTTGTAACAGGGATATACAAGATTGAGCTTGATACAGCCTCTTACTGGAAGAAACTGGGCTTGAACCCCTTCCATCAACATGCTGATGTGAGTATTCATTTTCCTCTGTACATAGGTTGCAAAGGATATATTAGATATGTAGGATTTGATTAATAATAGCACATATTGAACTTACTTTTCACTTTAAAAAATTTTAGTATTAACACTTCAAATCTACAACTTCAGAGCATTGTGACAATACACTCATGACGGAATCTACCTAGTAGCTTTCCTATAACTCTTGATGAGCTCTTTGATACATTACTGATGAAAAAGTTTTCCATCTTTCTGGCTATACTTACCTATCATTCTGAGACTAGATTTGAGAGAACAGGTAGATTACTCTATTAAGTTTCCTGGGAAAAGAATTTATCTGCCTTTTAGATCTAATATTTCTCTAGATGCATACAAAGTTTACAAATTAGATTTCTAAATAAATGAAAGGGTGAATTGTTTTCTGGATGCCTGGATCCTCAATTCACAATAGAATGAAATATAACGATTTTTTTTTAATTTGCATGGGACTGGTTAGATGGTCCAAACCAGGTACCAACTGAGGCCAGCTCCATGGTTTAGAACTCACTGGGGACTACGTTCTTCTCCTTCACAGTATCAGATCCTTCAGGTGAACTTTCAGTAACAGCAGTCCTGTATTAGTTGTTTGCTGGACTGTGACAAATCAGTGAGCACCAATACAGCTGTACAGTTTGCAACTGCTGCTATTCTTCATCTCCTTGAGAAAAAGTGGCAAGCACGTGGGCTAAATTTTGCTTTGGCCTCCCTGAAATGGGTAAGAGATGACAATTCTTATTCTAGATGACAATGAAGGTCATCTGGACAATCTTGCTTTTTGTAACTGAAATGAGATAAGATGCAAGATTCATAACGTTCAAGAGAATTGATTAAACATCAAGAAAATGTTCACATCTCTATTCCCAACTACCACCTTTCTTCTCTCAACACAAAATAATCTACTAATCTATAGGGAGGAATTGAAGGAACATGAGCTGATGGAACAGATGCTAAAAGGGCTCTTGTAAATAACACTCCTATGGAAGGTCATTATTGAGTCACGGCCAAAGGCAGTAGTTCTGTATCTACTAGATACTCAAGTAGGATTAAAGAAATGCATTGCTTACACATCTTGGAGTAAAGATAGCTCTGTAACACTGTTTAACTCTGTTCCTCAACATTTAGGACTTCATAAGAACAACAAAAATAAGATAGTAGTAAAATACTTGAAATTGTACCTTAATAAAAAAAAAAAGACTCATGGCGTTCACGGAAAAAAAAAAAAATCATTGTTATTTATCAATACCAACAAGGAAATTACTATTTAATAATAAGAATTATTATTTGGATAATAAATGTGTGATAAAAACATAAATAATATATTTTAAGTGGCATGTATGCTTTTAACAAAGGACATTTGAACGGTTATATGTGTGGGACAGATCATTGGCCACACCACCACATGAGAAGATATTTCCAAAGTTTTGTGGGAGGTCAAATTAAACAATCACAATGTTTTCATCTAGGTGTAGGTTTATAACTAGAGATCAATTCTTATTTGTCTTGTGTTTGTTTCTTCTTTTTCCAGGTGGTGTTCACAGCTAATGATGCTGGTTATCGACATTACTCCATTGCTACTCTCCTCAGTCCCTTTTCTTACTCAACTACAGCAGTAGTTAGTGAGCCAGTGGAATAGAAACAGATATTAAGCATGAAAATTTAGATATGTAAATTAAATTTTCCATAAACGGTAAGAGTAAAAACATAGTTTCTGACCGTAGTAACAATTTTAGAATTTGCATAGCACCTTTCATACTAAACCACTAACAATAACTGTCAAGTTGTTTATTCCCTTTGTTAAATTTAGGAAGATATATTGACTTTGTTTTCAATAACTCTGCTGAATAAAACTATTCAGAGAAACACATAAAGTTTAGAAAAAAACATATTGATTGAAGTCTTCCATGAAGTTAATAAACTACATTCCTTGCCAACAAAGTGAACAAAACACACTAGAAAGATGTCTCATGGTAATTAAGTGCACAGGAAATGCAAACCACCACCTGCCATTATCTATGTATTTCTGAAGCCCGCAATGGATGAAGTCACATGGAACTCAATGTCCCACATATTAATCAAATAATCTCATCTCCCAATTCTGCTTTTGAAAATATGAAAGCAGAAGCAGCATTTGAGTGACAGCAGGGAAGAATAGCACATAAGAATGCTATGTGTACTTAAAAAGTCTCCTTTCCTACTTCTAAATATAGTATAACTAGTAAAACTTCCAAGAACAGTCCGTATCCAGCATGCAGAAGTGTATCTTTCAAACATACTTGAAGATATTTGTGTGTTCTCATAAAACTCAAAGTTCTGCAAATAACTTTGTCCTCAGTTTAAGTTTTCCTCCCAAAAGACTTGCATACCTCTAACTTTCAGACACTTTTCTTATAACTGTAAGATAAAAAAGAAAAGGTATGAATGAAAATCGCTGGTTCCAGAGAAAATCGGGTCTCTATTTAATGCCAAGAGAAATATTGATGAATCCTATTTCACATTCTTGTAATCCATATATAAGGAAAATTACTCCTATACAAGAGAAAAGTCATTACGAAATTGAACAAAATAGCAATGCTTTCTTGGAAAAGTATGTAAAAATGCTGAGTCATTTAGCCCAGGAAAACAAAAACAAAATCTGAAAGCTTATGAATACCAATAAAGGGAAAACAATTGGTTAGCCTAGGGCTCAATCCCACCACAGCCTGATTTATTTGATGGCCAAACTCCCTTTCATTTTGTTGTCCTTTTGAGTAATTATGTACTAGAAAAACGAGCCCTTTGTCTGCAAAGAAATCACAAAAGATACCTTTCCACGGAACCTCAGAATAAACAAGCCAACACAATCTTTAGAACATTATATTTCATAAAAGACAATGATAAAAAAGTACAAACATTTTCATGAACAACAACAACAAAAAAATATGATAGTACACAGGAAATTCCCAGCATTTGTTTCAGTGCATTTTTCATTAAGCCTAGCTTACATACCTCTACAAATAAAATAATCTTAAGTACACTTCCTCTTGCTGATAAGCAATGGGTGCTTTTAATATTTTTAAGTAACTGTCTCATTAGTAACTCATTACAACATAGTCATTAGTAAACATAATAGAAAAATAGACTGGCAAGATCCAAGAAAAAGGACATTTTGCACTTTCTTTTCAATATATTCTCTAGTTTGAAATGGATTTTATATTTTATATTCTCCTATTTAAATTTAAAATACAGAAATGGGCTTAAGAGTATCATGTATATTGACCAGATTCCAGTGTTAATAGTTTTGTAATATTTTTACTTTTTAATTTGCAAAACTTTCAGAATCTTGTAAAAATACTTTCTCTTTCTTCTCCCTCTAACTCCTTGAAGAGAATACATCCTTAATTTGCCTGGTCAGCAAAACCATTAGCGAAAGCCAATGTGACCGGCTTCTCTCTATGTTTTACAAGAATTATGAAAATACTAAAAGGAATGTGCACAACTCTTAGTTCTGCACCACTTTTTTTTTTTTGAAGGCACTGTCTATGTTAAAATTCACTGAAGAATACTACTGAGTTCAAGCAGGTAGCATACAAACACTATTTTGATGTAATTTAAGATAGTGACTTTTAAAGTTTCCCAACAAAGTGATCAAAGTTATTTAGAGAGGAGTGTTAGTATTAATATTTCATAATATAACATCCATCACTTTGGGGCATCAAAATGTAAACATTTTAAGAACTCAGCTATATGTCATAATCCATTCACATCCTGGTTTAAAATCAAATTTTTCCTAAGACCAGACATGATTAACCACTTGTAGCTGCAAAGTTATATTAGTTTAGCCACAGCATATGTGTAATATAGTATGTATATATATATGTATCTATACATATATATGCATTAGAATTTTTTCAAAATTGCACATTAATTTCACAGAATGCCTAACAAATGGGCACCAAATCATGCTTCAGAAAATGGTAAAGACCTACAGTACCAAAGGATGTTTAATAATCACAATTGTTAAACTGTAAGTGAACTTGTACTGAAAAACAGATATCACTTCAAAATTATATGAAGGATTAAAAAATTTATTCAACAGTTCTTGAAGAATTGTGTTACTGTTATGAAATAAGACCAATTTTATTTTGAAGATGTAGTTGTTCATACATTATATTATCTCTAACCTTATCCATATTCTTCAGAATATTCTGTACACCCAGTTATAGAAAAATATACCAGGAGGTGATCAAAACACTTAAGCATGCTTCTGAAGGATGTTCTGTTCACTTTATACTTTTTGTTATTTTCATTACATCATTGCTAAATGATGCTATATTAACTGGCAGATTTTAGGGTAATTCCCATAAGGTTTAAAATATCCCTTTTCAATTGTTCTCAACTACTTCCATTATATCTTATATTTCTATAAAATATTTGGGATGTCTACAACTAAGATTGTAACTTTACTTAAAAATGACTAAGGGCAAAATTTGCTGCTGGGACATCAAAGAGATAAAAGATGTTTATGGCAAACAAATTCAAATATACACAGCACCACACTATCTGTGGCAGCAACACATAGAAATGAGTTAGCATTCTTTGTCAACGCTATTACAGAACACTCTATGGATAAACAATCCTTATTATATACTGCTTTCCATTTTTCATGGGAGCAGGAGTCAGTCTTTGGTTCCTAAAGAGTTGAATAACTGTCACAAACAAAACGGTTTAGGAGATCTTGGTCAGTATTCTTTGTATTAACATAAAAAATAAATGATTCAGTCCTTTTCCTTAGTATTAACAAGGAATGTAAAAAAAAAAAGAAATAGGAAAAGATAATACTTAGAAGTGAGATAGTTATAGGTAGCTTAACATTACAAGCAAACAGAAAATAAGAAGATATGTTTCTTGTTTCAAGCTAAGGAGAGGCTAGTTACTCATACATTTAACACCACAAAAATAGAGAAACAGACAGGACCAATCCTTACTGGGACTGTGCAACCTCAATCTCATTCGAAGTCATAGACTTGAGGATACTTAGTGCATCATAAAAGCATTCAGCACTGTACCAGAATAGGCCCTTAAATAGCTATATTGATATATTATGGGTGGAATTTTAAAAAGCACTTGGGACTGGCCTACTTTCAGTTCCACTTATGCCATTGTAAGTGGAACAATTTGGCCCACACTGTGCTTCTGAAAATCCCACACAGCAAGCATTAGAACTATGTTTTATTATTTTCTTAAAAATCTAACTTTAATATTCTTCCAATGAAGATACATTTTTGGCTCTTCTGATTTTGGAGGAATAAAAGTGCTGTTTACTAGGATTAAAAAAAAAAAAAAAAATACCAAAATACTGTATGCACCCAGACACATTGTTTTAGGCATTAAAATCCCTGACATTGACACTAGTGGCACACACGGAAACAGTTAAGAGTTCGTGTAGATCATAATACGCAACAACTGCAACATTTTCCATAATACACATGCAATATGTATATAAATATGATTTAGATGGCAGGCAGGGTATCATATAGTTTTGCTGGCAATAAATAAAATTAAAAGCTTTCTTTCAAGCAGGTTTATATATGAAATTGATTCTTCTATATAGATATGCAGGAGGCCTAGAGCTCAAAACTAGTATAACAGTTTACAGTCATAGCTGGCCAACAATTAATATTTCCTTCATTTCACATAAGGTATAACCTTTTTTTTAAGCATACTTACATTTTACACTTGTTCTTTCATGCTAATAAAAACATTCCAATAGAATTCAAACGAGAACGCACTCAAATACATAGTGAAGCATATTGAGCAATTTAAAAGCAATGTACACACATTAATTTACATCACATATTTACAAAACACATTTTAAAAAGGAACAAAAGCATTCATTTAAATATGGAGAGGGAGGAGGGAAGAAGGGAGCGATTTAGTATTTAAAAAAAAAAAAAAAAAAACTTGGAAGAAGGATCTGTCTTACTTCCAGTGAAGCTATAAGTCTATTTTCTGCAATTTATTTAGTTGTGTGGCTATTATAGAGAATATGAAGGAGGAAGGCTTGAACAGTTGTCTCATGCTGTAAACATCTGAGTGGTGGCTGCTGGCTTTTCTTTCAGAACAAAATGCAATAATTTTATTTCTCATCCCAAATATGCATCATATCATCCAATGGTCAAAATCCCTAATTCTAAGCTGCTGTTTGTTGTGAGGGTTTTTTTTGTTGTTGTTCTTGTTGTTTTTGTTTTGTTTTGTTTTACAATGTCTATACTGTCTATTAGTATCTTCCAGTGTTAAAAGTTTGCTCCAGTAGGGTTGCTTTGTCATTCCATTTCCATCAATAGTCTCTAACAGGAGCAAGTTCTGGTATGAGATTAACAGTTATATTTTTATACAATCTACTGACAAGTATTTTAGGAGTATATATTAAATTGTTCAACCCATCAATATACTGACGTTCTCTGGAATACCTCAGAAGTTTATATCTGTAGAGGGAGTTGGAAGAAGAAAACATGAGAAAGATTTGCAAGAAACCATTCCATTGATGTTAGGCATGACACTGTAACAGTTCATCTTGAAACGCTACATTTTTTAAACCCTGAAAGTACCTCTCAGTCACTTGAAATTACTAAATTACCTACCTTAACTTTAAAAGCCACCCACTTTCACCAGGTTTTTTAATACAATTACATACAATACAATTACATTGTATGTACATGTACCTAAGTTCATCTTAAGACTAGACAACAAGCTGGGCAATTTATATATATTCTTCTTGTGGACCCAATTTTTAAAGAACATTCAATTTCTTTTTTTTTTTTTTTTTTTTTTTTTTTTTCCCTATAAAACTCACTATAGAGATAAAAGATCTAGGTGCTTTTGCAGTGTATCACCACACATGCAAAATGTCTGGAATTCATTTCATCCTTGAGATAACTGCATTTGCGAACATCCAAATTGGACTTGATTAAAAAGCAGTTTTCCCTCATGGGTTACTAATATATATATCAGTTTCATATCACATATTTACTACTGTCTACAGTGCACATCAATTTTCTGCTTTATTCTTAACTGTTAAATAATGATGTTCTTCGCATTACATTACAACAGCAGCTCATCTGCTGCATTCTGGTTGCTATTCTACTCTAGGGCAATCAACGTGTTTTGCATTTTTGTAGCAAAAGAAAGGCACCACAAAACTAAAATTTAGCTTAATATAACCAGGAAACAAGAAGACCTGTTTTCTCAGAAAATAATGAAATATGATGGAAGAATCAATCCTTGAGTAGTTCTAAAGTTGGTTTTCACAAAGGAGTCATTTTCCTCAGCTGTACTGCTTCCTTTTGCAAAATATTTAAGACTAGTGAAGCCCTCCCAGTGCTAATGCCCAAACTATTAAAGAATAGTAACTTTCTTCACCAAAGAGACCAAAGAGAATGACAACAATATCTTTTGACATACAAACCCTATCACTTTCATAATTAAAAAAAAAAATAAAGTATGTTTAAGAAAATATAGAGTTTAGCCCTAAAGAGGGAGTAACACTTAGAAGCACTGACAGCTCATTTTATGTGCAGAAGATATACATATATATGAAAAATCTTTACATCTTTAGCTGTAGTGTTCGATTAGTTTTCAATTTTTCTTACCGTCCTAAAAACTGGACTTCACCTCTGTGATGATGAGGAATGGATT